GCCCTTGGGCCCTCTCTGGGCTATTCTGGTATGTGAAGCGTTGTCTATGTTTGTTTTTCTGGTGGGGCGTGAAGGCTAGTATATCCTGCTCCAACATCTTGGTCGCTATCTTCATTGGTGGTTTTCTAAAATGTATTTTTTGACAGATAACACTGAATGTTTCTACCATAGACAACATGATGTTTTGAAGTGCATATACTTGTGGGGGTGGTTAAATCTAGCTAATTATTCATTGGTATTTTAATTTGCATTTTACTAATGACCAATGCAGTTAAGTCTTTTTCAGATGCCTATTCACCATTTATTTGTCCTCTTTTGTAAAGTCTCTGCTCAGGGCTGTTGTCTATTTTTTCCTATTGGGTTGTCTGTTTTTATTTATTTGTAGGAGTACTTTATATATTTCAGACCCAAATTATTTGTATGATAAATGTATTGTAAATATTTTCTGTCATTCTGAGGATTGCTTTTTCCACTCTGTTAATGATGTCTTTTTTTTTTTTTGAGTTGGAGTCTCACTCTGTCACCCAGACTGGAGTGCAGTGGCGACTCCTCGCCACCGCAGCCTTGACCTGCTGGGCTCCGGCGATCCTTCCGCCTCAGCCTTCCAAGTAGCCAGAATTACAGGCATGCACTACCACGCCCGGCTGATTTTTTGATTTATTGTAGAGATGAGGTCTTGCTGCCCAGGCGGGTCTCGAACCCGCAGGCTCAGGCAATCCACTCACCTCAGCCTCCCAAAGGCACGGGATGACAGGCTGAGCCACCGAGCCCGGCAATGGTGTCTTTAGATGAACAGATATTCTTAAATTTCATATAGTTTAATTTATTAATTTCATCTGTTATAGTTAGTGCTTTTGTGGTTTTAACTAATTTTTTTAGTCCAATCTTCTCTGTTTTACAACTGAGGTCACTTATTACCTGTATCTTATTCAGTCTCCCTTAAATCTGAAGACACTGTTCCTGATTTTCCTCCTGCCTGTCTGGCTACTCCTCTTCAGTATCAAGCACAGATTCCATTTGTCAACAAGGGTACTCATTATTTCACCCCACAAACTGGCTTCTCCTCTAGTCTTCCCTATATCAGTAAATGATAAAGCCGCCCTCCCACTTACCCATGTCATAAATCTGGCAACTATTCTTGAGTCCTCTCAGTCCTTTACCCAACATATCTAATCAGTTACCAAATCCTGTGCATTCCATCTTCTAAATAAACCCTGTATAAATCCATTTCTCTCTCTTCCTGCTGCAATTTCCCTATTCATTGTCGGATCCATCTAGAAAATAAATCCCAAATTCTACAATGTTTAAAACACAAAATTATAAAACAAACACCCAAGTCATGAAATATAACATTGTTGGCATCCCCCCAAGCCCACGTGTGTCCATTCTTAAACACACCTCTATCTCTAAGGGGTTGCCACTATCCTGTCTTTTATAATAATTTTGTCCTGACTAGCTTTTACACTTTTCTTCCTAAGTATGTATCTCTAAACTATATAATTTAATTTCATCCACTTTTGAACTTTATGTGAATAAAATAATACTGTATGTATACTTTTGAGACTTGCTGTTTTACTCAAGATTAAGTTTGTGATATTTATTCATATTGTGTGTAGGTTTATTTTTTGTAAATTTTTATTGTCATATAGTATTTCACTGTATGAAGATAGATTATTCATTTTTACTGCTAATGGAAATTCGAGTGGTCTATGTTTAGGTGTCTCTCTCCCTCTCTCCTTCAGGTCTTTCTTTTCTCCTTTCCTTATTTCTCTGTCTGTTTCTCCCTCCCCTTGGTGCCTAGCTCTTTCCTCTCAAGTCCAATCTTCTCTTTCTAAATTTCAAACTCATCTCTATCAGAAACTACATTAGAAATCCCAGTAGAAAAATACTTCTCTTTTTTTTCTTTTGAGTTGGAGTCTCACTCGGTCGTCCAGACTGGAGTGCAGTGGCCGCTCCCGGCCACCGCAGCCTCGACCTGTTGGGCTCCGGCGATCCTTCCGCCTCGGCCTTCCGAGTAGCTGGAACTACAGGCATGCACTACCACGCCCGGCTAATTTTTTGATTTATTGTAGAGATCGAGGTCTCACCAAGTTGCCCAGGCGGGTCTCGAACCCACGGGCTCAGGCAATCCACTCACCTCAGCTCCCAAAGGCGCAGGATTACAGGCTGAGCCACCGAGCCCGGCTGAAAAATACTTCTTTTATCTCAATATCTACATATCATCTTCAGTGAACATGTTTTTCCGGTTCTACTTATGTCACTATATGTCCCTCATTTAATCACTGTATCCATGAAGATGAGATACTTTAACTGTCCAAATACTGTGATAAGTGCCCACCCTACTTGGAACAAGCTGTGGTGGAAAAGGGCGAAATGATGACTAGAAAAAATAAAATAATAAATACCTTGTGCATGATACAATAAAGAAATAATAAAATACAATATTCTATCAAGTGGAAGGAATTCAAAGTCAAAGTCATGAGGTTGGAGACAAGAGAGAGAAAAGAAAATGTTCTGTGCCACTAGAATTAAATACTAAGCATAAGACTCTTGACCCAAATGTTAAATTTGAATCCTTTGGAAGAAAGGAAATATCCTGCACTCTATAAAAGATAAAAATGCAACTGCAAGGACTGAAAAACTAACTCTGGAGAATAATGGACCACTGTCCTTAGAAATTCAAGCTAAGCTGGGCTCGGTGGCTCAGCCTGTAATCCCGCACCTTTGGGAGGCTGAGGTGAGTGGATTGCCTGAGCCCGCGGGTTCGAGACCCGCCTGGGCAGCGAGACCTCATCTCTACAATAAATCAAAA